GGCAGCCGGGACGGCTTCCCCGCACCGCACCGCACCGCCTCGGGGCCTGCGCCTGCCCCTGCCCCGGCTGCGGCACCCCGAAGGCAGCGGGATCCTTTTCAGGGCGTCGCCGGAGACCTGCAGCACCCCGGAGGACCTTGAGCTCTTCTTAAAGGTGCTGTGCAATGCTAGTACTGGGGGAGGGGGGGTCCTTTTCATGGTGCTACCAGAGATCTGCAGCCCCCCAGAGGGGCTTGAGCTCCTTCTGAGGGTGCCCCACAATGTTAGCACTGCTGGAGAGACCTTGAGATACTTTTTGGGGTGTTGTGGGGGTGACACACGATGTTCGCACTGCTTGGGGTGGGGGGGGTGTTGAGATCCTTTTCAGGGTGCCACTGAAGACCTGCAGCCCCCTGGGGGGGTTGTCTCAAGGGTCTCTCCTTTTAAAGGTGCTGTGTACTGCTGGGGAGACCCTGACATCTTTTGAAGGGTGGCACCCCAGAGGGCCTTGAGATCCTTTGAAGGGTGCCACACCATGCTAGCACTGCTAGGGGAGGTCTTGAGCTCCTTTTAAGGGTGCCATGCAGTGTTATCACTGTTAGGGTGTGCAAAGGCGATTCACAAGATCTACCCAGAGATTTCAAACACAAATCCAAGGACTAAATCCCCCTCACATGTACAGGCACCCAATAGCATCAAGTTATTAACCAAATGTTGGGGGGGGGGGCTGTAGTTCTTTGCTACAGAAGGATTGCTCCATTTTGTTTCTGTAGTTAAAAAAAAAAAAAAAAAAAGTAAAAACTAAGAGCCAGTGCTTTCTGAGGGGGGCCTCATGAGGGGTGCTTTGAGTCTTAAAAGTTTGCAAACCACTGCTCTAAAGCAAAGTGAAAATTACTGCTTGGGTCTGTGCTAACCCCACTGAACTCAGGACAAGTAGCTGCTACCAAAATGCTGCCTTACCCTAGAGCAAGGCTGTGAGGATGGCATTTTCAGATGCTGTGGAGATATGCATCATAGAAGAGCCTATAAATAAATTGGGAGATGGCAACATGATTGTGTAGTCACTTCAGAGGAGTTTTGAAGTCGAGAAAGAATACTTTATATCTGTGGAGATCAAAAGTGTTTCAGGAAGGGTTTAGTGTAAGATGTCTAAGGGTGGTTGTTTAGTTATAATCTCACTGTATTTCAGTTGTGCATTTCTTTGTGATATCTGCTTGTCTCAGCAAGATAAAGTGAAGTATTTGGCATTATTTAAACAAACAAGCTAGAAATATGGGTGAGATTTTCACACCCTCCCTCATTCTGGCCCTTTCTGTCAGGTAGGAGGACCAGAGCTGCATAAAGCACCATCATGTATCCAGTTGTGGGAGGATTTCCTTGGTGCAGAGGCTATAAAACAGCCTTAAAATAACCTTCCAAGGACTTTCCACAAGCCCTCATGTAGGGATAAGCCAGGAGCAGGGCTACAGAGTGGAGTGCTGTGGAGATGCTGGACAGCCTAGGAAAGCCTGCCATAATTCAGGGTTGTATAAACATGCTGTAGTCTCTGCAGGTCCTGGAAAAGTTCAGAATGTCACAAAAGTAGCTCAAGGTCCCATATTCCCTTGAGCTGCAAGTTCTGTGCTGCGTCAAAGTTAATAAACAGTCCTACAATAAGGAAAAAGCAAACCCCATCTATCCACACGTGTCCATGTACACAATGAATCAGTTTCTCCACTCCATTGCACACAAATAAGTCAGCTGAAACTAATGCAGTTACAGTGGCATAAAACCAGTGTAATGGGGTGGAGAATTAGACCCACTGGATATAACGAAGGACAGCCTGTAAGGAAAATGGATTTTTAGCTTCAAACAGATGGAGAGTAGAAGAGTTAAAAATACACCTAAAAATGAGAACTGAAGGGTGGGGAGGAAAAAACAAATCTTGAAAGTTGGCTAGATAAAGTTTTTAATTTTGCCTCAAATGAGCCTGATAACATGAGGCCTCTCTAATTTCAGACTCTTAATCACAATGTTCATGCGTAACTTGATGAAATGGATTAAGATGCATTCTGTGCAACTTACTATTAAAATGAAGAGCTCAGTGGCTTAAAACTAAATGTTTTGATACTATAATGGTTCCAGTGGTATTAAAAATTGTGGGGCATACAAGACTGAGTAGTTTGCTAAGTTTCCTAAATATAAAGTAAATGTTTACAAATTTAAGATAGTAGAGTTCTCATTTTATTTTAATAGCAGGTTGTAAAAATGATTTGAAATGTCTGTAGTTTGTAATATGTTTACTATTGTGGATTTTCACAGAACTCTAGTATCTTTTCTTTCAGCTTGTCTAATAGCTGCATTGATTTTTTTTTTTTTTTTTTATTTTTTGAGATGGGAACTGCAGAAAATTAAGGCATAATTTTATTCTGATTTCTCTGCTTTGCCAAAGAGTTTGCAGCTGTGGTCTCTCAGGTGTGCTTATGTGTTGCCCAAATATTGTAAAAAACAAAACAACAACAAAATCCTCATTTGACTTTTTTCTCTCATCTACTTATTGTTGCGTCTGTGCAGGAAGTGCTGCTTAACTTTTGACATCCCCACATCAGCTTATGTTCTGGGGTTTCTAACTGATAAAACAAGTGTTACCCTAGATTGAAGTTTGGCACAGGAAGTTTTGTCTCAGTTCACAAAAATATGGAAATATCTGGCAAGTTTTCTTTTCATACTGTAAATGTTCAAGTAATTCAAAGGAGGGCTAGAGGAATGACCAGAGTCAACAAGCATGAAAGCACTAGATATGAAACAGGTGCTAGGGAAGATCTATGAAGTCATGAATAGAAGGCATTGTTAATGTGGCTGAGAGAGAGGATTGGGGGCAATATTTAGAAAATAAATGAAGGTGAAGCATGGAAAAAAAATTGGAAGTGAACCAAAGCTTGATTTCAGAGTCCTTGATTTTGCAGCTGGCTCTGCAAGGGCCCCATGTACCTGTGCAGAGCTCTGCTGAGTTCAGTGGGCTTCTGTATTTGTAACCTTGAGGAACTGCCCAGGGAAGACATTTGTAGGATCAGGGTCCAAACAAGGAACTGTCTATGGGGTTGAAGCCTGTGATCCAGAATGTCCCAGTCAGCTTTACTGTCTCAGATCAAGATATTGCATGTCCATTTGAGACCTGTTTGTCCTGACCTCTAGAGCAGGCTTGTCATTTAAAAGCAAATTGTTGCTGGCTGATTGTTCTTTAAATGGGCTAATGTAGTTTTTTTTGGTTTTTGGAAAAAGTAATGTTGAGCTCCTTTTTGTGTTTGGAGTTAAATTTGTTTGCTAGACTTCAAATCATCTGCAGTGATTACATGAACCTGAACAAATGGTATCAGGCCAGGTTGTAAAAGGCTCTTACACATTAAAAAGGTTGCATCTTAATAACAGATAAAAGGAGAGGTTTGGTATTAGTTCTTTGTACAGAAATACCAAAGTCAGTGCCTGCCTTGTGAACTTTAGTCCAAGAAAACTCTTGTTTAAATCATTACCTGGATTCCAAGTTACCATCTGATGTCCATTCTGTGTCCTAGCTGAAATAAATTTAATGGACAAGAGTCTCTGACCAAAACCCCGTAAAGACAGTTGTCACCATTTGGCTACCTGATTAGCAGTCCTAGTAGAAAGGGTCATGAATGACTGAGTAGACCTAAAGAAAGTTTATCCTCTCATCCTGGCATCTGCTCTAGTGAGTTGGGCTTTGCAGCACATTGGCAGGTGAAGGTCTGGAAGCTAATGCTGTTTCTGCCCTGAGTTTTGGATAAAGAGACGACTTCGGTCTCCAGGATGATCATTCCACCATTTAACTGGTAGGAAAGCCCTATAGTTTTTTTAAGGAGGAGAAATTAAAGATAAATATTTGGTTTAAAGTGTAAATATGTGCACACAGTGTAGGATAACAATGCTTCTCAGAAAAGCTGTTTCTGATATCACCTGGCACAGCTTTAAATTAGGATAAGATCAAGAACATTTACAGCTGAAATAACATAGTAAGAGGAAATTTAAGGTAGGGGGTGTCTGTGCTCATGAACTGACACATCAGTAAGAAACAAGAAAATTCTTACCTTGTAGGAGCGAGTTCAGGTATAGATGCAGCCATACTGAAGTTGGTGGGATTGCAGAGGTGTACCTGGGAACAGAATAGGACCCGGCATATTTAAGCAAGTAACTATTGTGCTCTTCAGCCTGTAAATATGCAAGGGAAGGCAGTTTAGATCATCTGGAGGTCTTTTCTGTACCTACTGTATTAGGATTTTGTTTTTTTAAAACAAAAGCTGCTTGTTTCCCCCTTCTTTTTTGAAGAGAGTAGCATATAAATAGAGTCAGGGCAGTTTACAATAATTTCTTCTTCAGATTTAGAGAAGACATTAGGGAACCTCAAGAACAGGGAGGAGTTTTGAAATGTAACATTTTTAGTTAGAGAAGTTGTTGCAGGTGTTATCTTTTATAGAAACTCTCGCACAGACTCTTGCCTCTTACTTATTTCCTGGACCATCACAGCTACAGCATCACTTCAATGCTACCAAAATCTTTTTAGATGGATAGATTTTAGGTGACTTGAAAATGATAGCTCTGAATTTTTCTCCAGCTGCTTTACACCACAAGCACAGGTCTTCACCTCCAGAAGCCCTAACCCTGATGAAACATCCTAGATGTAGGGGCATTAGCAGGTGATATAAATCCACCATCAGTGGTTTTATCAATTAGGCACAACTAACCATTGCCATTGACAGCAGTATGCAGCATTAGAGCAGCCCGAAGGATTGATTTGATGAAAAGAGCACCTTGGCTGGAGGGAGCCTAGAGGATATCTTCGTAACCTCTTTTGTCAGCTGTATCATGCATTCTTGGGTTATTATTTGGCTGTTTGTTTTGAGTTTGGATTTGGTCCTTAATGTATCCAAGATGCACTGAATGTACCTTTGGTCAAACTGCTGGTTCTCTGATGATAATCAAGATTTTGCATGGGTGTAGCCAAACTAGAATTTTACTTTCAACTTCCTTCACTGCTTTATGACTTTACTGCAGGATAATCTAGCAGGTGACATCTCTACACACAGCCATAACATTAATTGGAATGTGTTTCATAATGCTGTGCTGGGTAAATTTATCTTCACGTGCATCGTATTCAAAGCTAGGGCAGAGACAATCCATGCAATTTCATGGCTGGCTCGCTTGTGCTGATAAATGAATCCCTATGGGAAAAGTGCTATAGGAAATAAACTTTCTATTGGTAGTTTAAGCTGTATCCTTTACTTTCCTATAGGATAGTATTACAGGATTTCTATTTTAAAAAGCCTACAGAAAATAGTTTTTTTTTTTTTTAATTAAGCTATCAAGCGCTATCAACCCTATTAAATTCTATTAGAATTTCCCTATAAGATGCAAGGAGTTGATTACAGAATTACCATATAATCAGCAGAAGCAACATTAGGTAATGATTGGGCATAGATTAATGGTTTGATGGGCTCTTTTTAAAATTCTCGGTAATGAAAAATTCTTTTAAACCAGGATGGGAATTGCCTTCTTGATCTTTACTGTGCTGCTTTCTCTAACTACCCCCTTACCCAGAACTCTGTACTTTCCCTGATTTATTACAGTGGATCATAGTTAAGGATTTTTAAATGATGCGTTTTATTAAAAAGTTACCTAACTTCCAGTACAGTTGTATAATATGAGGAGGTCATGCAGGCCTCAAGAATAATTATGTAAATGGAAAGCAATGCTTTCTTCTCACCTGGATTGAATAGGGAGCACCCAGATCTGAACTTAGAACTATTGCAGTCACCTGGGGAAAAACCATATAAAGTTGGACTGGTATGAAGGCACATGCCAGAGACCTGCCTCAGCACACTGCATGCTATGCATGATCCTACCAACTGTGGCACTGACTGAGAATTATCTTCCTCTTATAAACAAGGAAGGGATTTGTGGACAGACGCACAGGATGTTGTGCATTAGGAATGCCTGTTGTTCCTATACATCTGGGAGATGTGGTCTCCACCTCTTCTCAAAAGCATGCCAGATCCTTGAAAGGTAGCTACTCTGCCAGTTACTTGGATGAAGTGTGAGTCTTAACTTCAGATCTTCTAGTCTTGCTTTGTGCTTTAATTGCAGGAAAAGCCTTAATTATTAATCACAGATTAGACCCTTGATCCTAAAATTACACCATTGGATTCCTTTTCTTTTTCTCCTGTACAAAACCACTTACTTGCACAAACATCAATTTAAGGTTGGAATGGCAGCCTCGGGTGATGTTTAATTTCCAGGAGAGTGAGGAGAAAAGATTAGCAGATGGAACAGAAAAGCTAACTCTTACACACAAGACGGCTTGCATCTGCTGTCACCGGATGGAATTCCCACTGGAGTCTCTGGGCCAAACTGAGCAGTGACATCAGTTTTATTTTTAAGGGGCTACACAAATATGGGATTTCATTGGTATGAACATAAGTACCTTGCGTGCTGAGGGGGACAGTCGGGGTGGGCCCAGCAGAAAAAGCACGGAAGCAGGACACAGGACAAGGTGCTTTGGTGTAAAGTGGGACTATGATACAGCAACCTGCTAGCAGGTTTTCCTGCTACACTTATACCCACTTCTATTTAGCTGGCATTTAACTTGCATTCATTCTGCACATCCACCGAATTAAAGTTGTCACAAGTTAAACTGCATTCCCACCCATCCTTACCTTCTAATGCTTTTATACTACAAAGGAATTCTGTTGAATTAGGCCCATGAGGAACCTATTACATCTTTGGGGTGAATGTATTTAGATGTGTGTAAGTATGTATTTCTCTCTGTGAAAAGCTGAAATGGGAGGGGATCCATCTGGGTACATTTCCCAGACAATATTAATTTGAAGGTAGGGTGTTACATGGATGTAAACTGGGAACATATAGACGTCACTGTAACTTGATTGACTTAATTAAGATGAAAATCAGGTGTCGTGTCCTGCTTTAGAATGTTAGGTCACTGGATTGTCTGGTTCCAGTTATTGTGCCTCAGTGCCGTTAACTAGTCCAAGAACCGGACATTAAGAAAACCATGGCAACGAAAGAAACAAAGTGCCGTTGCCAGCTTCTAAGCCTTCCATTATCTGCCATCTCCAGTTTGTTTCTTCTCTAGGAAGGCAGAGGCACTAATCATTTATATAGAATCCAGTCCTACAAGTCAAAGAGTTCTTTCTTTTGCAAAGATTTTAAATTTGTTACAGGCCATAAAAAAAATAAAAGTGTGCAACTCACATTGAACAAAACCATGCGTCATTTGGGGGGGATTCATGTTGCACAGCTCATTCTAGGGAGAATATTCATTGAACAGTCTAAATGTGGGAGGAGGATGTATACAACAGAAGCGGTGACACAGTTTCAGCACTTTTATAACACCGGGCATTGAAGGAGCCTGAGCCAGTTTCTGGTCTGTTACATGCATGCCATTACTGCCTAAAACCAGTGAAGTCAAGGGAGTTACTTTGGCCGTGCTACAACCGTGCTGAGCCAGATTGGGTCCCCATTTTTTGTTCTTTGGAGCTGCCTAAGGGAATGTACTGAATTTTATAAAATTGGCATAATACTGGCTGGCGAGATGCTCACGTAAATGACTTAACTATTCAGTATTGTAGATAAGATGTAATTCACCTTTCACTTGCATTGGTGTAAGTGAGGAGTAACTTCACTGAATCAGTAGAACTACATGTACTGTAACATCAGAGCACGTGAAAGGAAAAAAAAATCATCCCTTTGGCTTAATTTCATTCCCTTCACATATTTCTAACCAGTTTGCTGGATTTATATAATTAAAGTAGGGAAGAAGCCTACACCTCCACCTTTAGCATGTACTTAATTACATCCTTATTCTGTGCAAAGCATTTGTGTGTAATCATGAACTGGGGTCCCAATTTGGACTATGGCAAATCTACCTTGCCTTTTATTCTAACCTGTCAGACTCTTGCTTTCCAACTTTGTTCCTGTAAACTCTTCTGTTTGCATTAGCCAGTTATACCAGGCTAACACACTGGAGAATTATGTTTAATGGACACACTAATTCTGAAGTCTCAACAAATTTTAAGTATAAGAGAATAGTGCTTGTAGGTGTTACATGTGTCCCTATTTTTCCCCATCATTTTTATTGTATTTCAGTCGCATTTTCTTAATAGTCTGGTAGAGAAAATAATTACTTGTTGCTGTGTGAAAAATTCCCGAACAGCAGAAAATGACCATACCCAAAGTTCTGCTAAATGAATAGATTGAGAAGCTAGAGAAGATTATTTTTTTTGTAAATCCCATTTATTTACTGAAATCCTAGTAGTTATGTAGGTGATAAAAAATGTTGGGACAGATATCAGATTGTTAAATGGACAGTGTCCCTTTAAGCTAGCATACTAATGCTAACTTTGATTTCTCTGATTGGAACACCCAGACTCAAAACAGAGCAGCCCAGTCATCTGGTCAGATGGTATGAAGGAGATGTTAATTATCGAAAGGTCACCTTTTATTTAGCTCTACAAACACACACAACTTACAGCAACTTTGCCTTGTGCATTTACTTCTGGTAGTTTAACCTCTGGCAGTGTCAACCAGAGAATATTCAAGAGCAACAGAATGCTGGAATTAATGGAGAAACTGGTCTTGGGTTTGATCCTCAGTCCTGACTCCTGGCTGACCAAACTTATTTTTTAAATTCCCCTGAACAGGACAACTATAACTTAGCCAGGGTTATGATATAGCTTAGCCACAATATTTAAAACATTCAGTCCTGAGTGATAACTGCATTTTACATGAAACCAGTCCCTTTTTCTGAATGTGAAAATGTCGTTTGAAATGGAGAGAGGTATTTGCTACATTTGTGCTAAGTGTGAAAATGTGTATAGTTCTGATTTCCCCTCCCCCCACCATATTCATCTTTTTAAAAATTTTTGTACAAACTGATTTCCAGAATCATTTCATAACTATCTTTTTTCCACCCTTTTGTACAGTCCCATTTGGGGCACTGGGTTCATTATTTTTAGTTGCACATGGTGCTTTCCTTGCCTCTTTGACATGAACAGACAGTAAAAATCTGAGCTTTCCAGAAACTTCATACACATATCCATGATTACAACCAACCCATCATGTTTTGGGTTTCCTTGGGTCCACCCAAGGAACTGGATTAATTGTTGTAGCTCTTGTTTGGAATGCTGTATTTCCAGTCTCCCAGGGGAAACGTACTCAGAAACATAATCAGTGGCATAATTAGTGCAGTAAAGTATTCCACGGTTTATGTAATTGAGGCATATGTTGTGTGTAGTTAGATATCCCCAAATTAATGTTTAGCTTGGGGCTTTCCATGACGCCAATCAATATACATGTAAGCACATCCCTGTAGGTACACAGCAACATAATACTTCAAAGCTACCAAAATATTTTCTCATCATATAAAAAGTACTGTAATTTAGTCTTACAAAGTAGTCGTCATTCTGTCCTCCCTTCCCTCAGCGGGAGAATTCTGAAGTGTAAAATGGTATAGACATTATGTAGGTATAACTAAAGTAATTCACTTCTGTTTTATGGCTTTATCTCACTGAAGATGAACAATACAATACATTCCTTAATTTCATAATATAAGGTGGTGTAGAGCCTCACCA